AACACAACACAACACAACACAACACAACAAAACACAACACAACACACACAACACAACACAACACAACACAACCCACAACACAACACAACACAACACAACACAACACAACACAACAACACAACACAACACAACATAACACAACACAACACAACACAACACAACATAACACAACACAACACAACACAACACAAACACAACACAACACAACACAACACAACACAACACAACACAACACAACATAACACAACACAACACAACACAACACAACACAACACAACACAACACAACACAACACAACACAACATAACAACATAATTCATAAGTGGAAGTCTCTATTTTGTGAATCCTTTCTGACAACCCTGACTTATCTCAGATATCTGAGTTGTGGTGGGGTTAATTTTCTGTAGTGAGGTTTGTTTTCCTTTTATGCATCCAAACATTTATAAAGGAAAAATTCATCCATTTCTTGTATTTTGACCTATTAACTTCCATTTTCATCTGTTTTTCAAGACTCCTCTTTTCCGTTTTTGGCATAATTGCAATTTCATCTTCAATTAAAAAACCATACAGATTCCATAAATATACCAGATTGCGTGCGGTACAATGCAATGCTATAATAACTATGAATGTAAGTAAATTGTACCAGGAAAAAAATGGATTGAATGAATAGCGACGTTCCGAGCATAGCCTGTTATAAAGTGAAAAAACGGCTGCAAAAGTGTCACAAGTTCAAGGCCAGGCAATAATGATCATCTGAGGTCTCAGACACCGAATTATGATCTTGCCAAAGCTTTTTTAAATTCATTATTTGACGTTTGAAAATGATCTGCTGCAAAAAAAGTTTTGGACTTTGCAATAAAAAATCTACTTTTTGCAATATTTTGGAAGATATTCTACTCAAAGTCAAAATAAGAAATTTTGCCAAAGTTTGAAGTTTTGTTCGATTGAGTTTTAATCATGGAATGACGCCTAAGGATTTCACAAAAGTTATTTAAGTATATCCCCAAGTAACGACCCCGCTGGGCATTGAAAATATTGTGGGGGAAAATTCCCAAATCATAAATTTTCGGCTGGAATAACTTAAATCATGGCAGAGAAGAGCAAAATTTCGGCGGGGAAAATTAAGATAGAACATGATGTACCTGCTAAGCCCCCAACTTCTCGAAAGTGAAAGAAACATGTTCTATTTGGTCTGATGCTCATTCAACAGTCTAACGATAAAAAGTCATGACTTCTTGATAAGACATATTGAACGCACAATGATTATTTCCAAAATATGTCAGATTTACATGAGGTTCCCCCGACGTTGCCCTCTTACTTTATTTGATGTTCTGAAATGATGATAGTCCAATACGTCCACAGCGATGTTGTTAATTGGTCTTCTATACGTTCAAAATATTTTGCCCATTTAATTAAGAATATCCATAGCTCCATTTTCGAAACAATCAAATACTTGTGAAGGTACTACCTGGAACTGTGAACGTTAATCAGGTGCCATAGTTGCAGTGAATGTCTTACGCTATAAAATAACATTTTAGTTAAAGGCAATATTTGAGGCTCAATGGGCTAGGATTTATCTTCCGATGTTGCAGCAGAGTACTTAATGAAGCGGGGGTATCAACAAAATTTGTGTAACCATTGTCATTCAATGGCAAAATTTAAATAGTACCACGTGTGGCTTATCAACGTGCCATCCAAAACTGAAGGGTATACTTCGGTTCTTAACACCAGGGTGCAAAAGGAGCATCATTTACATTTAGTCCCATTTACATCACAGTATATTTAGCGCATCACGGATAGAGCAGGTTAGGCCGCCGTCCTCGCCCACTAATAAATAGGATATTCACAAGAACTCTTGTTCTCGGATTGAGCATAATAATATTTTCAGAAAGGAAAGAACTTTTCAGCGCGGAAAACAACCGAAACTTGGCGGGTAATGTTTTGAAAATCAAATCTGACGGGGAAACAAATTTTCTTGGCGGGTCATCATGCTACCTCGGCGGGGAAGAGTTTCAGCGGGGTCGTTACTGGGGGGGGGGTGTTTATGTCGAGGGTCATGTTGTTTACAACACTGTCGCCATTCTTCGAAGTGGTGCAATACATTGGCTCACCTGGTGTTACAAGAAAATCATTTCTGCAATCAAATTCGTGATCATGTAAATTATGACACACTTAATTATGCAATTTATGATGTAGCACTAAGCATGAGTTAGTTAAGAACTTTTCTGCTAACGATAAAGCTGAAAAGTAAGCTAGTTTCTTTTCTCTTTATCACACTTCTTCGATTAATAAAGGTCCCACTACACAACATGTGCTCTAGCATCCATTCGAGGGCCGCTTCTATTCAAGAAAGTGCGGTACTTATTTATCTTCATTGCAAAAACTCGAGGGTTTTTCAAAATGATGTCTTTTCGAAGTCAAAGTATTTCTATTCATTAGTTGCTCTAAAAGAGTTTCTCTTCTACAAATAAATTAATTTTGGTTTTCACAGAGAATTTAACAAGATAAAGCCGATATGTATTCAAAAGAAAGATTCTAAAACTGCTTATGTGGTGAAAACATTCTGTGTACGGCCTTGCTTTTGGAAGTATATCAAGCTCGTTAGAAAATTGGAACGATAAGTGGGCCTGCATCCAACGGCGTAGATAGAGAAGCAGCGGGGGCAAAGGGGGCAGAGGGGGGCAAAGGGGGCAAAGGGGCAAAGGGGCAAAAGGGGGCAAATGAAAGGGGCAAAGGGGGCAAAAAAGGGCAAAGGCAAAGGGGGCAAAGGGGCAAAGGGGGCAAATGGGGGCAAATGGGGGTAAATGGGGGCAAAGGGGGCAAATGGGACAGAGGGGGCAAAGAGAGCAAAGGGGGCAGAGGGGGCAGAGGGGGCGGGAAACCCCCCTGTGAAGCAAAACTGCTATTTATTGGAAAACTGCTGATCTTATTGAAATGGTTAAAATGTACGGAAAATAAATATGCTTATAAGATTTTTTGGTGGAAATCTATATTTCTAGTCCCTCCATTGATTTTTTTCTATCTACGCCACTGTCTGCAAAAAAAATGTGATAGTTTTGGCTGAAGTTTGTTGAAAGAGTCTAGCAACGTAAATTTATTTGGTTCTTTTCACTTGAAAGTTTTTCTGACTTGTTTCTTCTAATAGTAGAAGTACATAACAAAAGTTGAAAATAATGATAGAAGGATCATACACTGTAGAAAGGATTTCAATTCTCATTAAACAAAGAAGCAAAAAAGATTGCTTGCAAACTACTTTTTCAGTACTTATATTCAACCAAAGACCGCATATTTTCCTTTCTGCACGAAATCCGACATCGACCATAAGCGATCTTCCACTCATGCATGCCCTTTGCCCACACCCCGAAACAATAAAGTGAATACCCATCAACCTTTCAATTATTAACTATTCAATTGAAATTGAAATACCATGCCTACAACTAGGCAATGTATCCAACGCAAAGGACGTTAGTAGCTTGTCGATTCTCATTTCAGTGTATTCAGTGCATTGAAGCCGACTTTCGATTCTCCACCAGGTGGCCCAAGAATGTGAATTAAAATACTGTTAATATTTAGGGATTCATATCATTTGCAAAGATGCATTTCGACCTCAATAATTGAATAGCATTAGAAACACTTCTTAATAGACGATCTCAACGGGTCAATAATTTGCCACACCGTAAACTACATTTTTGCTGTCCCTTAAGAACCCCTTCCACATAAAATGCTGGTTTTGGGGTGGCTTGGCCACAAGCCCAATTTTATTCATTGGATAATATTTCTTATAAAGTTTATGTATAACAACAAAGGTTATGAGTATCGTCTGTTTCACAGCAAAACCAATCAGGTGCATTTGACTTAGATCAATTCTAGTGAGGCAATAAAAGGGAGCAAAAAACAAGCTTACATGCTTTTCATCGTAGCGAGTAGAAAAGTATGTCCAACCGCTTTTTGCATCCGTTTTGACACGATCATTGGGATTTTGTGCCGACTTGTCATTCAACTGGCAAATCCCCAAATCCTTGTTTATGTTTATAGACTTGCATTGACCTTCTATGATACATTCAGTCTTACACATCTGCTCGTCCAAGTTTTCCAAAGTGCGATATGTAGCATCGAGTGAGTGACCATGAAGCACAACAGAAAAGTTTGCAAACGTTTTGCATGGTAAACGAAGTATTTCTCCTTTTACTGTTACAGAAATCACCATCAGCAACAAGTTGGCGGAGCAAATTTGCATCATGAATAATTCGCAGTAGTTGGGCCAATACGAATTAATGTATGTGAGATAAGCTCAATTTGTGTACTGTACGGAAGACAAGTTTGTACCTGACTGCATGATGTTGGCATGAAATGTTGGTATATCTTAAACTGTTATGTTTTTGCTGCATAAGGCAAACCAACAGGTATTTAAAGAGATACAATGGTCCGGTGATTCATTTCTGATTCAATATCTTCAATGCATAGAATAGCCAAGATACCATAAACTTAATCATGGATTGTTATCTAGTCTTATCTACCTGAAGGCAAGTTAGAATATTGAATAAAACTTAATTTGAAAAAACGTTTTGGTTCAAGAGATACATTTGTTTGAAATTTTTGCACGCAAAGGCAAATCAATCTTGCTTATCGACCTTTAGAAGTTTTTTCGATTAACAAGCCACTAAAATGACCAGGATTCAAAGGCACAAAATGGAAGCTAGGCAAAATATTCACTTGGATAGAAACAAGAGTTGGATTCCAAAATATTTTAAAATGGACTTAGGTCTCAAGTATAAAGTATAAAGTATCAAGTATCAAGTATCAAGTATCAAGAATCAAATATCTAGTATCAAGTATCAAGTATCAAGTATCAAGTATCAAGAATCAAATATCTAGTATCAAGTATCAAGTATCTAGTATCAAGTATCAAGTATCAAGTATCAAGTATCAAGTATCAAGTATCAAGTATCAAGTATCAAGTATCAAGTATCAAGTATCAAGTATCAAGGATTGAAAACACACGGGTAAAGAAGATCAGAGATTAGAAAATGCCTCAACAAAAAGCCTCAACTGGTAATTTTTCTCCATCTTGGAAAAAAATTTATGATTTGGCTTTCTCAC